TGTTAATAGAATTTGGCTATTATTCTTTCTAAATCTCATATAAAAAATAAGCCACATCATCATATATCTTACCTTAAATCTTTGATTTGCTTTTTGATTAACCAAAGCCAATTAAGTATTGATTTGATCATAATAACAATAAATACTCTATTTTACTTGATGTTCAATTTATCTCTTAACCATTAAATTTATTTATCTAAAAATTTAGGAAATTAGTCTCTCATTGATTTTATTTCTAAGATCACCTCATCATAAGGCTATCAACTGATTTTATTAATACATCAACATTTTTTTATTAATATAATGAACTCTTAATGTTTAAATATTTAATTCTTTTAATGTCTGCTTTCATGATTCACTTTGCATTCATGTTAAATCTTGAAATGTAAAATCATCTGTATGTATGAAATTGTCAGTTAAATATATGAATATAATTGGAAAGCATTACATTTACGCGATCATCTAACTATAGTCAATATGCAAATGGATCTTGATACTGTCTCATATAAAACAGTGAATGAATGATTTGATGATATTTGGCTTATTTTCATAATTGAAATTGTATTCTAAACATATTAATAATAATTCATAGTGCCTAAGAGATGCAAATGCAGTTATATTTTATTAGGAAACTTAAGATTAAGTTAATTATAATATCAAAGTTGAATTTCTAATAATCTAGAGTAATTTGCCCTCTGAATAAATTGGGTATTCCCATAAATTAAATATATGGATGGAAACAAATTATAATGTAGAATATCATATTCAAATCATAAAGTTTTTATTAGAATCTGTTGGATACATTTGACCAAGATACAGAAGGAAAGAAAAAATTTTTATTATGACCTTTTGTTAATTATTTTGGAAATCAACATCATTATTATTCCAAAAATAAGACTTAAACAAAATTTAGGTTAAGTAATACATTTCATATTTTCATTTGATTGAACAATATTTATAGTGTTCAAAATTTCTTAATATTCAAATCATAAGACTAAATATAGTATCCTTCTTTCAAAAACATAAAAAGGTATAATTATCTTAAGAAATACTTAAAGTTGTAACTAAAACATCGAAAATAGATTTCTCTAACTGTTTTTAGATCACTTTTTAATGAATTAATTAGTATAGCTCTATATCTAAAAGTAAAATAATTATAATTATATCTTATAGTATGTAATGTTCACTTATACTTGATAACACTTGGTTTCCAGTGATTAAAGTTTTTTGCAAAATTTTAAAAATATCTTAAATTAAAAATCTATCTTAAGATTCAGAAAAACAAAATCTTTGTCTCCTAAAGTAAATAAAATAATTAACAAAAATTTTCTGTAGATGATACTAAAAAAAGTTTTCAGTACAAAAAACTCAACACTAATAAATCTCATCAGAAAAGGTCTAACTTTTGTGTAATTTAAGTTAAATTAAAAGGATCTATACTCAAATTGTTTAATCACTTAATGTGACTTTTAAATTTAAAGAAGTAAAAATATTTCTACATTGTTTAATTTGTTCAACCTTCTTTCTAACATTTAAATATTTGATTTATATAAATTCCTTAGATTTGGCTCGTCAATGTTTATCTTTAATACTAATTATTTAATTGAAAAATCAATTATTTATTCAAAATAAAATGTCAATAAATTATCTTCTAAAGACATAACTTTTTAACTTATCTTTTAACTTCCTTTATTAAATTATCCTTAGCTTGTTTTTGTGAGATTGATTTTAATCACATTTACTAATTACTATATTGATTTATTCTAAAACCTTTGTTATCTTTTTACAATTTCATTAACTGCATTTATTTCCTTCAATTATTAAAAAATCCTGATGACTCTTCTAATATCATTTTATCTAATTTAAGTTCTGGTTATAGCTAATTTTATTTTACTATCGAATTTGCAAAGGTTAATAAAAATATTGATTTTCTTTCTTATTGTTTTTCATACTGAAATAATAACAAATAAAACTTCCTTTTGTTAGAAAAGAAAATAATATTAATTCTGTATTTATATTATAGTTTTATTGAAAATAAAATGATTTAAATTGAGTACAAATTTAAATTGATGACTCAAATTATCAATTTTATTAGAATTAATAATGGATTAATCTTTATATTAATTAATGATTAATTTTTAAAAATCAAGAAATAAATATTTTGAATTGAATTCCAGCTTAGCGATTTAACAACAATTAAAATCAACTATATATTTACACAATGTATGGTCTTCCTTCTTTGAAAAATATATTTTATATTTTTTTAATTTTTAATATAAAGCCGAAAGTAGACTTAATAACCATCTAAACTATATAATTTGATTTGTTAAAGAAGCTTCGATAATTATATATTAAATTGATCTTGAAAATATTTGTTAAAAGGAGTAATCCTAATTAAAGTAGCTAAGAACTTTATACATAAATCAAAAATAATAAAAATAAGAATTACCTAATAAAATTAAGGATTTCAAAAACTTTTCTGTTTATAGATTTATACTTTCTAATTTCTACAGATAGAATTGTTAAATATCACAATAAAATATAAAATCAGAATTATGCTTGCTATAATTATTTTAATAATATCTAAGCAATTATTAATTTAAATGTTTCTTGTATAAAACAATATTTTAAATATCATATCCCAACCATTTAGTAATAAGGTTTTTAATAATCCTTCAAAAGAAATTAATTTATCTAATTTAATCATACTTAGCCAATTATTATACAATATTTAACTAAACTTAACAATTATAGTAGAACTGATACATTTAGATATTGATTACATAAATTCAAAATATCTTTAACAAAATATCCAATTATAAATCACTTTTTTAATCCATTTCGAAATTAGCATAAGAAGTAATAGAATTATACATTAAATTATTTGAGATGAAAGATTTATTATCAAATTAGAATTTTATTTAATTATTTTTCCTTCTGAATATTCTTAGT